GGCCGAGTCCTCATAGCGACACAAAGCGGTACAGGTGAGGGGTGCCGCCCGCCGCCGGCCTTCCTCAGGGCTGAGGCCTGGGCCTTCGGCAGGTTGGCTCCCCATGGGGCACCTGGAGCCCGGGCAGCGGGCGCAAAGCTATTTTCGTGTAGTAGTATTTGCGGTGTTTGGCAGAAAAAAGTTAGGCTGGTGCTTGATTGTCACCTCCCCTTTCCCCACACCGCAGCTGTGGTGGGGATGGCTGGGGTGCCATCACTGGAGCACTGAACAGACTGAAGTCCACCCGAGTATTGATTTGTCTGTGAGGACTCTTGATTCCAGTCAGTGAAAGACATGCTGCATGCTTTGCCCTAAAACTTGTGACCTTTTTCCTAGGCAGAAAGTGAAAATTATTCACTTGTTACTAATGAAGGCTTTCTTGTAATACTCAGACATAGCAATAAAGAAAAATGAGGTGCAGCTAGCCTTTTATTATGAGTTCAGATGTTAGCAGTTAGTGTTAGAATTCGAAGCGGTTTGTGCCTCCCTTGGATGAAGGCAGTAACCCAGCCGAGCTGAGGGCCTCTCTCACTGCCTCTTGCTTTGCAGAGGATCGGGCTGCAGCTGCGCGCCACGCTGGAGAACATCACCCGGCTGCGGGCCGAGGGGGAGGATTTCCGCTGGTACCTCAAGGTGCGGCGGCGGCGGGGGCGGCCTCGGGGGCTTCGGGAGGTGGGAGAGGCTGTTCTCGGTGTTCGGAGCCTGCTGGGCTGCCCGGCGGGGGCCCCTGGCCACGAAGGCCTGCGGTGTTGAGTGTCACATCATGCTGCTTAGTGTTTTCTTCCACACTGTGCAAGCAGGCTGCTACAGGAGCAAGGAATGTGGTGGTTTAACTATACAGATAGGTATACGTTACTACATGCATGATGTTATACATTAATTTGCGATAATGAAAAGGCTTAAATTGGAGTGTTGGTCAGTGCCTCCATTGGTGAGGTGGTTGGTAGTCCAGTATCCAGTGGCAGGTAACCCACCGAGATGGTGAGATGCCCTATTCCCGCCTTCTATCTTGTGACTGTGCTTTGTAACGTTTTCCATCCAACACACCAAGAGACAGACCCTCTGCGGCAGGTGGGCCTGCCGGGTCGAGTCAGCTCAGGGGCCTGTCGGGATAGATGGCAACTGATGTCTGCCTCTGGCTCCTCTCAGCTGTGAAACAGTGGGGATTGTGACTGGAGGGCTCACATCAGCTTCTTCAGGTTTTTAATCCGGGATTATTGACATCTTTAAATTCTCTGATTTATGTTTTTTCAGTTGAAATGCGGGAACTGCGGAGAAATCTCTGAAAAATGGCAGTATCTCCGATTGATGGTATGTTTCCCAGTTGTAACCTGCATCAGAACAAAAATGAGGAAACAAACCTGCCTCTGACATGCAAGGGATATTAGCATCAGGGATGTGACAATTTACACTTCAGATGATACAGTATTTTAATAGCTATATGCAATCAGGAAATGCTGTCATATTCCACATTTTTTAAAAAGTATATATTGAGACTTTTAACTGAAATATGCCATTGGAATGGTGTTGGTGACAAAGTATTTACATCTGCTTTGAAAAGCCACCTTTCTGTAAAAATATCATTTGAAAACAAATTTTGAAGTGATATAAGGTTGCGCCTGTAGCATATTTCTCTGATGCTGATGGAATCTTTTTGGAGAAGTTTAGGTAATTCAAAGTGAGTTAAGCCTGCTAAATTAGTATTTGGAAACTTGAAAAGGAGGATAAAATTTGTCAAGGATAAGAGAAGGTTCTGTTCTTAGGAATAATCATCCCTTTTTGTGGCGTGCCACTGAATGGTAAGAATGTATTTTGAGGAATTAATGGAACATGCCTATAGGGACAAGACATAACTATCCATTATTCACTATTTTAAGTCTAGAACAGAACTATTCTTTGATAATCACAGTTTTCTGAATTACAGATCTTTCTAGTTTAAAAAAAATGCCTTCTTGTTTCAGAATTTTTAAAAAGTTAAAGACCATTGTTGTAAAAACTACTTTACCTTTGCAGAGGTTTCCAGTGGCTCAGCTAGGGTGCAGTTAAAAATGATGTCTCTGTTATCATGGCTTTTAGGACAGTGCTCCCCTGAAAGGAGGCAGAGGAAGCGCCACTATGGTGCAGAAGTGCAAGCTGTGCTCCAGGGAGAACTCCATTGGTACGTGCTTAGAAATTTTAGAGGCATCATCCATATTACACTTTTGCTCCTCCGTTTATCTTTTAGTCCCCATTTTTGCTTGTTTGTAAAAAGCATTCACCAGGGATTTTTTTTCATGTATACCGGTGCTTGACTTCACAACAGGTACATGTCATCACGACAGCAAGGCCTCGCAGTGAGTTCAGGTTTCTGCATGAACAAAACTCATATCCATAATGTAATTTTACAAAAGAATGTGGTTTTTGGTTTGGGTGGTTTGGGTTGTTTTTTGGGTTTGGTTTTTGGTTTTGTTTTTTTTCATTGGTAGGGTAACAGAATGGTGTAATGTAAACGTCTTGGGATAAGTGAGAAAAACTGAACTCTACCTTTTGAGGGCCAGCTGTAGGAGCTGCTTGGTTACTTTGTTTCTTTTACTTTGTATAAGGAAATGACTTTGAAAGAAGCTGGTGCTTGGTTTGTGCTGAAGAAGACATAATGCCACTCATTTTTACACTTCGGATTTTTTTCTTTTCTAGATATTTTAAGTCAGACAATCAAGCCTTACAATGTAAGTTTGTTTTCTCTTTTATACGACAAGTGAAAGATAAATAAGCATTAATAATATCTTGAGTTTTTATCATCAAATTCCTTTTCAAGAACAGAAAAGCTGGTACTGTCCCCTGACAGAAAACTGTCGTGTGTCCCCCCCCCCCCC